ATCTGCAAATAGTTTTTACTTTTTCTTTCCAATCTGGATGACTTTCATCTCATTTTCTTACCTTGATTAGAACTTCTAGTACAATGTAGAATGTAAGTAGTGAGAAGGTAACTTGCTCCTGATCCTGGGAAAGCCTTCAGTCTTCCATCATTAAGATAAAGTAGGGGACTGGGGTTGTGGCTCAGTGGTAGAGTGCTTACCTAGCATGTGTGAGGCACTGGGTTCGATCCTCAGCACCTCATAAAAATAAATAAGCTAGGCACCATGACACACACTTGTAATCCCAGCCACTTGGGAGGCTGAGGTGGGAGGATTGTGAGTTCAAGGCCAGCCCCAGCAACTTAGCGAGGCACTTAGCAATTCAGTGAGACCCTGTTCCTAAATAAAATATAAAAAAGGGGCTTGGGGATGTGGCTCAGTGATTAAGCACCCCTGGGTTCAATCCTCAGTACTAACTAACTAAATAAATAAATAAATAAAATAAATCTACAACTAAAAATATATATATTTTTAAAGTTGGTTGTGATTTTTTGTAGGTGCCCTTTATTTGTTCCTTTTTATTTCTAGTTTGTGGAGTGTTTTCATCATGAAAAGGTATTGAATTTTGTCAATTACATTTTATATCAGGTAGGTTTTGTCCTTTATTCCATTGCTATATTAAATGATTTTAAAACATTATTCAGACTTTCTCTTCTGCCCCATGTGTGGGCTGGCCATCTGGGGAATCTTGGTGCCCTTTTGTTAGGCCGGGTCAGTGATGCTGGGCTATCTTAGAAACTTTGCTGTAAGAGAAAGAAACTTGCAACTTTAAAAACTTTGATTAGTGCATCTTCTTCTCAACATCATTCTTTTAAAAAAATACATATTCATAGATGATGTGCATGGAGCCAGTGATTTTCTGGCACTTTCTATAATTGGAAGTTGCTTTGTCAATTCTTGTTTTAAATGAGTCAAGACATTCCTTCTGCTGCTTCTCAGAGACTCCTTCCTCTACTAATGAAATTGTTTGCCTTTTTTCATTGCTTTCTATTTTTCTCCATTTTGTGATTTATGTGTGACTCTCTGCAGACTGTCACATTTTTCTTTCCACTAACCATTTGTAATGTTTCCCCTTCTGTTGGACTCTGTTAATATCCATGTCCTACTTGTTTTCTTTGGCAAGAGAGAATATGGAAAAGTCCTAACTTTTGATATTTTTGCTATTGTTGAGTCCCTACTTACTGAGCTCTGCCAGCGTGCTGGGGGATCTCATAGGACAGATGCACATAGTCATTGCCCAAATATCTTGCAACCTGATGGAGCACCAGGCAACCAGTGCAGACGTGAACTCATTAATGTCCTTGAGTGAAGGTAATTAATTGAGTGTCACAGAGAAGACTCTGTTGGCTTCTAATCACAGATCACTTCGTGCCAGTTCCTAGGTTTAAGGATGAAAGGAGCAGTAATCTGTACTGCTGAGTGGTGCGTCCACGCATGCCTGGTCCATTCAGCCTTGTCAATGTTAAGGAGACAATAATCTTTCCACTTACTTTAGCCTGTACTCAAAGGTTCTCCACTGAACCCTGTTGTCTCATTCTTTTTTCGGGGAGGGGGTACTAAGTATTGAATCCAGGGACACTTAACCATTGAGCCACACTCCCAACTTTTTTTGTGTGTGTATTTTAATTAGAGACAGGGTCTAGCTGAGTTGCTCAGGTCCTCACTAAGTTGCTGAGGCTGACTTTGAACTTGTGATCCTCTTGCCTCAGCCTCCTGAGCCCCTGGGATTACTGTTGTCTCATTCTTGAGAGACAGCCTCATCAACCTATATGCCCCAAAACTACACGGCTCCAAACACCAGGTTAAAAGCTATAGCAGCCCAGTTCCTTCTAAGCATAGCGTAGGACAAGATCCATAAACAAGGGCTGGGGATGTGGCTCAAGCGGTAGCGCGCTCGCCTAGCATGCGTGCAGCCCGGGTTCGATCCTCAGCACCACATGCAAACAAAGATGTTGTGTCCACCGAAAACTAAAAAATAAATATAAAAAATAAAAATAAATAAAAAAGGGTTCAATCCCTGGTGCTATAATAAATAAATAAGATGAAGCAAGCAATTTTCAAAAAAAAAAAAGATCCATAAACAAGCAAAGACCTACCTGGTCTCTGTCCTTGGGATCTCATGGTGAAGTTCAAGACCACATAAAAACATTTGAGTCTTCTTTGAAATGCATTTTGTTTTCCTGAACAAGTTTTTTTTTTTTTTAACTTGCTGTAGTTTTTTCCTAATCCCTATCATCTGACTTTCTAAGGTGGGATGATATATTTATGTTTTTTTAGAAATTATTTCAGCCAGTACAATAGTGCCGTCAGTCATCTTTTCCTTAAGGGACCCTCTGGACTTGAAATCAGCAGTCCATGTTGATAGGGTATCCAGAAAGAAGCACTGCCCTTCTAGAAAGTTTTCCTAAACTGTACCACAGTGGAAACCCAGCTACTTCTCTTAACCGCACATCTCCAGCTCCAACAGATGAGCAGCTGCCTGAAGGGCCGGTGTTTCCTCTCCCAGAGGTGACATCAGCCCTTCTACTTGAGGGAGAGGGAGGGGAACACCAATGGTTTACAGGGGACTGGAACATCATCAGTCATCTAGACACACAGTACAAGTGAGGTGCATTGCAATTTTACATTTCTACTCACGCATTCAGTACAAGATTTATCTTAGGTTATTGGTCTTTCTCTTCTTTATTTTCCTCATACTCTGGTCACCTTTGTTTTTCTCGTCTCATTTTGGTCAGTCCTCTGGGCCAGATAGCTAGGTCTCAAATCAGGATAATTCTAATGGAAAACAAAAAGTTCTAATGTTTACAGGGAACAAATGGATGCTTATGTCGAAAGTCCACATTTGAGGTTCTTCATGAATGTGAAACCTGGGTCAAATAACCCCCACCCCTGAACAGATCCTTACTGTGCAATCCTAAGTGGAGACAGGTAATTGAGGCATTGTTCCACACATAGCTACCCATGTACTATTAAGTAGTTATCATTGAAAGACGACGAGCCTTGATCGTTCTTTCAATCATTGTATCCAACTTGTGTGCTCTTAGATACCACACACTCTCACCCTTGTGTGTTTGCATGAATGTCTACATGAGAACTGAAAATCTTAACCCTACACTTCTGAGTAAGGTTCTCTGTGCATCCAGTTGATAGCAGAGCCACTCACAGAAAAGGTGAATCTGACTTTTCCCCAGCAGCTTTTATGATCAACTTGCATTTGCATCCCATAACCCCTTGCTACAAGGACAAGGTAACCCAGAAGTTAAATAATCATTTGTTCTGACTTCATATTTCAAGACACCGAACTTGCTTTTGCTTCATTATTTTTTTGGCAGAAAAATAGAAGATCATCCCATAAGGTAGAACAACTCAGTTGTCCTATTTGACTTGGCCCCAGCCATGTTCCATAGAGAGATTTCCTATTCTAAAGAATTCTGATGGAACTCCCTGGGGAAAGAACACCCATTTTAGTTGGCATACAACAGAGTCATTGGAATCAGTTTTGAACTCACAATTTCCTTAAAAATTTGGAAGGATTTCCAGATTGCTATTGTTTTCCTGGTAATTTACTAGATCATACTGGTGTCTTGGAATAGGGCTACACATTTTAACTGTAAGTTTCCATAAACTGTAACTCAACTTCCCCAGCTCCTAGGGGATTTTCACTGGCCTGGACTCAGGAAGAATTTTCTTCTGTGGGATCCAAGGCTTCAGAGACAAAACATTTCCTGAAGACTTTTCTCTGCTTTCTGACCTCCACCTTCCTCCTCCCAAAGACATACAAAGAAACTATTTCTGATCAGTACAGGCAGCCAAGAGCATTCTGTGAGCTGCAGGGTAACAGAATAAGAGACCTGAATCCAAGATTCTTTCTTGGCTATTATGGTGCCATTGGGTTACTTAATGACCAGAGTGAGTTAACCCCTTGCTTTATGTCTAGGATTCTAATTATCCACCCCTGGAGCTTTTAAGAATTGATTTTGTACATGGCACTTATTCATATTCCAGAAACTAACTGCCATCAAATAGTGGTGATGGTTAGTTACAAAACACAGGCAATCAAAAGCCCTTAAAATGATTACACTCTGGCACATCCAGAGAATTTGAAACTGGTTAGTTCTGGGCCTCTCCCAGTAGCTTGTCAAAACCTGAACTAGGTGCTTTGGGTTAGCAGTTCGGAGATAGAATTTTGGAGCTTTATTAGGAGATGTCCTGGCCTGTAGAGCACACTCACCCCAGCTGGCTAGGAGCAGGAGAGCTGTGGGAGAGCCAGCCCTCTGTCCTCTATCGCCCATTCCTGCTGTCTGCATCCCTCCAAGTTTCGGTGGGGACCTCCAAAGTAAGGTTTTCCCACTTGACAAAGTTACGAATGTCTTTCCCATAATTTCTGAAGTCTTGTTTGAACTAGACTTTCACTGTTCTTGCAGGGTAGGAATTTTGTCTCCTCTACATCCTGGCGTCCTTACCCCATCCCCACCTCGGGGCCTGGTTCCTGGCCAGTGGATGCTCTGTGAATATGAACTGGCTCTGGTGAGGTGATCTGGGTAGTGCCAAGGCAGTTCCTGGCACTTGTCACCGATTATCCAGATTTTCATCACTTTTTTCTTCATCATTGTAGATGGATGCCTTTTTGCAGAAAATAACCCCTAAATTCAGGTTATAAGATTCCCTCCATGTCTCTCATCCCCAGGGGATACCTCCCCAACCTTATCCCCACCCGGACAAGCCCCTGAAGCTCCCTGTTATTCTGGGCGGGTGGCTCCCGAACCCTGGAGTCAGGTCCAGAAGTGGCAGCAGGCAGGGCGCGCGGCCAGGGTGCAGCTCGGGGGGCTGCCTACAGGGTGGGGCCGCGCTCGCCGCCGCTCCCTCTCCACGCCTTCCCGGTCCCCAAAGAGGACACCCCTCCTCCCGCCGGCCCGCTCCCCACCCTCGCCGCGGCGCCGCCTCCCCCGCGCCCGCCCTTGCCCGGAGCCTCCCAGGCAGCCAGCGAGCGAGGGGAGCGCTCTGGAATGGGACTTGGAGGAGGCGGCGGCGCAGTAGACGGCTGCAGCGGCTAGGGCTCCTTGCTCGTTTCCCACGAGCGATCCCCGAGGACAGCCGCGGCCCTCGGCGGGGCGAGGAGGCCAGAAAGGGAGACCCGCGGGGCTGCGCCTCTGCCTCGCTTCGCAGGCGCCAGCGGCGGTGGCTGCAGGTGAGCGCGGCGCGTGGTCCGCGGGATTGTGCACGACCCGGCTGCCCCGGGGCGCAGGCAGATCAAGCCCAGGCTGGCGGACGCACGCGGGCGCTCTGTCCACGCCCGCGCCGCGACACCGCGGCTCCACGCGACCCGAGCGCCCCGGCTGGGCTGTAGCCTCTGACCCCTCTGGGGAGAGCGTGACACGGAGGCGTCACTGTCCAGAGGGGGAAAAGTCCTATCACACCGGGAGGGGAGGGCTGGGCGCGCTCCCTGCGGGGCTCACAGCGGTAGCAGCCCGAGAGGGCCGGGTGAGGGCGCTGTACCCCGCAGCGGGGACACCTAGACCCGGTCTACACCGATCTGAGGAATGGGACTTGTTGAGCGGGTATCCACTGACGATTCCTATTCAATTGGCCAGAAATGATTGCGACTGACCCTCCTGGTGTCTCACTGCCCGTGTCATCTGGATTTCCTTCTCCTTCTCAAAGGCGGCCAGAATTCCAGCTTCCCTTATTGTGGAAGAGGGAGAGAAAAGGGAGGGCATTCTGTGATAGTTGCTAGAAAACGGGAGGACAGTTCGAGAGGGGAGCATGCCTGGCAGGGAGTCCAGGACTGGGTGCACAGGAAGTTACCCTCCTTAGGGACATGCTCCCAGGACAAGCCCAATTAATGGAGTTCCGAATCGTCATAAATCAGAAAGCCGCAATGCAACTGCATCAAGGGCAAGTATCATCCATCAGCCTTTGAGGAATGGGGGAGTCAGGCTCCAGGGGCGGTGGTGTTAATCAGGCAGACACCAGGCCAGCCTGCCTGATTAAAACCCCACCTGTGAAGCTTATAGGCTGGAATACTTGGAGGTGATCCATGCCTTAGTCTCCTCTTCCAATGGGGATGATAATACTAAAGGACTGTGAGGATTAAAGGAGATGTGACCAGTCCTGAAAAACAGTTCCAGGAGCATCCTAAGGTTAAGTGGTGAGCTCCATCACCTGTCTTTCCAGACAAAGCAAGAAGTTTGTATGAGCAGTGAATTTGCCCCCTCTTTAGTTCATGAAGAAAGGATCTTGGTGGGTATGTAAGGGTGGCAGATAATCCAAATGTATTTAACTGTAGTTTTCCACCCAGAAGTTACACTTACACAGTGAAGCACAGGGCTTCACAAATTCCTGTCAAGGTACCAAGGTGGGTTTGTGGCCTGGAAGGTTTCCTTTGAGCCCCTGAAGCTTGGTCCTTTATATTCCCCAGAAAAGGCAGATGCCGGTGGCTCTTCGCCCTCCATTTCCATATCCATCCACACTTCTGTTCTGGCAACAGAATCCAATCTCAGGGCCCAAACTTGCCAGGTCTCTCTTTTTTTCTACAAATCGGGATTCTGGGGGCCCTGGCTCCCAGATTCCAGACCCAGACATACCACAACCATCCAGGCCTGAGCTCATTGCTGAAGGTAGAGTCATGGTAGAGTTCAAACCAGAAATACCCTTAGACAATAATTAGGTCTTAAGCTCCTATCAGCTAACACCACTCATCTCTGTCAGCAGAATACAGTGGAAATGAGGCCCAAGATTTGAAGAAGAGGAAAGAGATGATTGCTTCTTGAAAGATGGGAAAGGAAAAGAGAGTCATTGAGGATGTGGGAAAAAAATTCCCACTGCTTGCCTAGAAGCAGTTCTCTCTGGGATCTAAGTGAGGTGAGGGTAGGGAAGGAGAAGAGAGGGAGACAGGCCCAGGTCCCAGGAAAAGCAGACTCGGTGGGCAGCAACAATGGAGATGCGAAGGTGAGTGGTTAGCGGGCAAGGTGACTGCACAGACTCCCTGCCCTCATGTGCAATCCTTTCCTAGAAGTCCCATCTTCTAGGGAAGCTAAGGAGGACTCCCCTGTGTAAGATACACGTAGAGGCGACTCAGGAGGCTCAGGGGAAGCGGGAGTGAAGCTCAAGGAGAGAGCGGAGAATGTCATTACAGTTGCTAGTAAACAGTGCCAGGGAGGCCCTTCCAAGGGACCAGTTGCCACTTGGAGCTTCAGCCTGTGAGGTCATCCTTTAACCCTGCCATGTGGCTCAGCAGACAGCCACTACTGCCTGAAGGGGCTCAAAGGCAGGCCTGGGCTGAATTCCAGAGGCTTCGGCTATTATGAGTAATGACTGTGACAGCAACTTTGACAGTGATGAGAGGTAGTAGAAGTATAGCACACTGCCTTGGAAGGACCTGGGCTCCAGTTATAGTCTATCACAGCTATAAGGACTTTGAAAAATTACTTAAGACTCCATGCCTCAGTTTCCTCATCTATACATAAGGATTGTTGATAAAATAAAACTACCTAGGACACATGAAGAGTAAATGTTCAGGGTTGGGGTTGTAGCTCAGTGGTGGAATGATTGCCTCTCACGCTTGAGACACTGGGTTTGATCCTCAGCACATAAAAATAAATAAATAAAATAAAGATATTTTGTCCGTCTCTAACTAAAAATATTTTTTTAAAAAAAGAGTCAATGTTCGATATTTATTGGTTTTACTTATTGTTACTACCTTGGCTTTAATTATATCATCCACCAGATGGGTGTGATTCTGTCATAAGGTGTTTTTTAAGGGTCAATTGAAGCAGCTAACATGAATTTATCCAAGATAGTGTGTAGATGTAGTAAACATTCAGAATGAGTTGCTTGATATGGAAATTTTCACAGAATATCTGTACATAAAAACCAGTGGCTGAACAGATGGATCAAGTAACATTTTTGGGAGGGGATAATACTGGGGATTGAACTCAGGGACATTCAACCACTGAGCCACATTCCCAGCCCTATTTTGTATTTTATTTAGAGAGAAGGTCTCACTGAGTTGCTTAGTGCCATGCTGTTGCTGAGGCTGGCTTTGAACCTGAGATCCTCCTGAGCTGCTGGGATCTCAGGTGTGTGCCACTGCGCACGGCAACTAACATTTTTTTGGGAAACTTTTTCTAAGAGGGTTGTCTGAGAAAACTTTGTCTACTTGTGGAAAGCATGGCTCACTGCCCCTTAGAATACTTGTTGCTGTTTTAGATACTATATTAGTTTCTTATGGCTGTTATAACAAAGGAGACTAGTAGCCAAAAAAAAAAAAATTACCTTGCAATCCTGGAGTTCAGAAATCTGAAATGGGGCAGCACTCAGCAGTGTACCCCTGTAATCCCAGCTACTTGTAGGGCTGGGGAAGGAGGATTGTAATTTTGAGGCCACCTCAGCAATTCAGTGAGGCCCTTAGCAATTTAATGAGACTTATCAAAATGAAAAATAAAAAGGGATGGGGAAGTAGCTCAGTAGTAAAGCACTTACCTGGCATGCATAAGGCCTTGGGTTCAGTACTTCTGGGGGAAAATGTCTGGAATGGGTCTTCTGAGACTAAAATCAGGTTCAAGAGGGCTGCATCCCCTTTGTAGGCTCTAGGAAAAACCTGTTCTCTTGTTTTCTGATTCCTAAAAATTGACTGCTTTTCTTGGCTCCTGGTCTCTCTATCTTCAAAAGCAGCAATGGCATCTTCCAATATTTCTCTGTGTTCTGCTCTTTGTATGTCTTTCTCTCTTCCCTTCTTTTTTTTGTGGGGGGAGGGGGTACCAGGGATTGGGAACTCAGGGGCACTGGACCACTGAGCCACATCCCTAGTCTTATTTTGTATTTTATTAGAGACAGGGTCTCACTGAGTTGCTTAGCACCTCGCTAAATTGCTGAGGCTGGCTTTGAACTCGCAATCCTCCTGCCTCAGCCTCCTGAGCCGCTGGGATTACAGGTGTGCCACTGCACCCGGCTTCCCTTCTGTCTTTTGCCCCCGCCTTTTCTCTTTCTCTCCCTCTCCCTCTCTCTCAGTCTCCCCTGCTCCAATTTCTCTCTCTCTCTCTCTCTCTCTCTCTCTCTCTCTCTCTCTCTCTCTCTCCCTCCTCCTCCCTCCCTCCCTCCCTCCCTCTTTCTCGTTATTGTTTCCCTCTTACAAAGACTCTTGTGAAAACATTTGGTGCACATGGAAAAGCCCCCACTAATTTCCCCATCTCAAGATTCTTAACTGAGCCACATCTGCAAAGTCCCTTTGTGAACCTTATTCCTTTTGAACTCAGATCAGAAGATGCTATTTTTCCCTTTCCTTGACTAACCTAAACTTTTGGCCCTAACCGCTCGGGACAACTGTTTCCCATCAATAGCATTTATTGACTTTTCCAGATCAGAATTATCTAGCTCTTTCTCCTCCTCTATTTCCAGAGAAATAGAAAAAATGCCCACTTGGGCAATGTCTGTGCTAAAGAAATACCCATCTAATGATGTTTGACTTTCCTGAGATTCCTAGGCAATCTGTATTAGTTTCCTATTGCTGCTGTAACAAGTTACCATAGCTTAGTGGGTTAAAACTTTACAAATTTATTATCTTGCAGTTCTGGAGGTCAGAATTCTGCAATGATTCTCATTGGACTAAAATCAAGGTATTGGCAAGACTGGAGCCTTCTGGAGAATCTTGGGGATAATCTGTTTGCTTGCCTTTTCCTCCTTCTAGAAGGTGCTACATCAATTGGCTGTTGCTGCTCCCATCTTTGAAGCTTGTTAACACTGGTCTGAGTCCTCACACTGCCACTTCTCTGCTTTTCTCTTCTGCTCTGCTTTTAAGGATTCTTGTGATTATGTTGGATTTTCATGGATAATCAGGGTTATCTCCCTATATTTAAGGTCATCTAATCAACAATCTGAATTCCTTTTGTCATGTAGCCACACATTTACAGGTTGTTGGGTGAGGACATGGATGTCTTTGGAAGGCCATCACTCTGCCTACCTGAGAGGGCCTGAAAGTGAATCCCAAGCAGTGATTTGTCGTGCAGCCCTATTTTTTTTTAAATATTTATTTTTTAGTTGTCTACAACACCTTTATTTTGTTTATTTATTTTTATGTGGTGCTGAGGATCGAACCCAGGGTCTCGCACATGCTAGGCAAGCACTCTACCACTGAGCCACAACCCCAGCCCTGCAGCCCTATTTTTATTAACCATTCCCTTCTAGAAGGTG